TATATATATATATATATATATATATATATATATATATATATATATATATATATATATATATATGTGGGTGTGGGTGTTGGTGTGGGTGTTTGCCTGTGTGTGTTTGTGTGTATTGAAAACTGTTTAGAAGAATTACATCTAATACATATAAACAAAGTAAATATATATATATATATATATATATATATATATATATATATATATATATATATATATATATATANATATATATATATATATATATATATATGTATATATATATATACACATAAATATATATATTTGTATATAGAGTGTGAAGAGCACCTGGAGCGTGAACATCTGAGCTGAAGGCGAGGAGAGCATCGAGAGAGGCAGCGGGAGAAATACAGTCGATATAGTCTTCTAGGTAGCGAGCAGCAGCAGCAAGAAGAAGTTCTTTGTTGTCTTCTATCTTGGGGCTTTGCTGCTCTCCTGCATGCGGTGCATGCGGTGCATGCGGTGCATGCGGCGCATGCGGTGCATGCAGTGCATGCAGCGGAGCAGAAGCTGCTGAGAAGAAACAAAGACTACGGAGCAAGCCACAGATATCATCAGGTGTAATGACAGCTCTTTGTTTCACAGTTGCTGCGAGGGAGAGATGTGCTGCTGCTCTTGCTGCTGCTGCTGCTGCTGCAGCAGGAAAGTGCAGCAGACACTGGCGAAAGGCAGCAAAACAAACACAAATATCTTTCAATGAAAAACGAGAAGAACGCAGCAACAACTCTCCTGCTGCTGCATGCATGCATGCATGCACCTCAGGTAGATGTGGGGCACCAGCAGCAGCAAACTCTGCAACTGCTGCTACTTCTGCTGCTGCAGCAACNCCTCAGGTAGATGTGGGGCACCAGCAGCAGCAAACTCTGCAACTGCTGCTACTTCTGCTGCTGCAGCAACTGGCATGCTTGCTGCTGCTTGCAGACACAGAGCCCTAAACACTTCATCGTTTTTTAATATAACCCGAGAAAAAACAAACAACGCGCTGCATAATAACTTAAAAGGAAACACATGCAAATTTATATTATCACCCACCACTCCACCTCCTGCTGCTGCTGCTGCTGCTGCTGTTGCTGCTGCGGGTGTTGCAGGTGCTAGTTCTGCTGCTGCTCCTCCTGCTGCTGCTGCTGCTGCTGCAGTAGGTGGGTTGCTGTTGTTATAGTTATAGTTATTGTTGTTATTTGTTGCAGTTTTGTTGTTTTTTTCGTTTATATAGAGAAAACAATGTGCTGCGCGTTGTATATATCTTTCTATACCATCATAGAGAGGAGTCGCCTTGTAGCCGAAGCCTACATATGCCTCAGCAACAGACAATGCAAGCTCTAGCTGCTGCTGCTGCTGCTGCTGAAACTCCAGCTGCTGCTGCACCACATCCTTATGCTCATACTCATGCTGCTGCTCCTCCTCTATTTCATACTCCTCCTGCTGCTGCTGCTGCTGCTGCTGATCATCATACGGATGCTCCTGCAGCTCCTGCTGCTGTTGCAACTCCGCCTCCGCCNCTGCTGCTGCTGCTGATCATCATACGGATGCTCCTGCAGCTCCTGCTGCTGTTGCAACTCCGCCTCCGCCTCCTCCTGCTCTTGCTGCTGCTGCTCCTGCTGCTGCTGCTGCTGCTGCTGCTGGAGATAAGGAGGCAGATGCGGAAGCGGTACTGTTCTTAGAGCAGGAAGCAACGCAGAGAGAAGGGGGTAGTGGGGGTGGTTAAGGATGCGCAGCGACAGCACAACGTCTGCTGCAGCAGCAAATGTCAATACATTCCGATGCAGGCGGAGGTCCTGCACCAACAGCAGATACCTAAATAAAAACAAAAAAGAAAAACACAAACAAAATCAAAAAAAGAATATACAAGAAACACACAAACGCTGTGCTCGTACAGCGTTTGCATGACACCAAAACAAGGAAAAAGTGAAACAACTGCAGCAGCAGCAGCAGCAGCAGCAGCAGAAACAACAGTAACCTGCCTCGGGTCTCTAACGATTGACTCAGCTTCTATTCTTCGTGAGAAGCTCCGCTCCACTGCAGCTTCTTCGCCAGACAACGCAGAGAAGAAATGAAATACAGATAGACGTTCTTGGGGCCAGGTGGGGGGCGCAGGAAGCTTTAAGGAAAGCTGCGAGAGAGGAGGAGCAGCAGCAGCCGCTGCTGCTGCTGCTGCTGTTGCTGCTGCTGCCTTGTTGCGCTCCTCCTGCTCCTTTGACGAGCTGCCGGCGCTGGTGCTGCTTCTGGACTGTATAGACAGCGCAGCCAGGTGCTTGAGAGCAGAGACAAGGTTCTTAACAAAGAAAGCTCCTCTGTGACTTGAAACAATTCTTAATACTTCTTCTGCTGTTGCGCAAGAGAAGATGAGGCGATCCAGCTGCAAGCACAGATCGCTGCAGTACACGTCATCCCACCGCCGCTCAGTCAACAGCGGAAACCTCAACGCAACTTCATCTTTTCTAGGCTCCTGTACGCTGCGTAGACCCTCCCCCTCCAAGCTTTCTGCCTGCTGCGGCTGCTGTTGCTGCTGCTGCAGCTGTTCTGCAGCACCCCCTGGGGCCCCTGTTGACTCTGCTGCAGATGCCGAGGGCGTCGCAACTTGAGAGTGAAACGCGCAAACTGCCGGGCCATCCAACCAGCGGATCGTTGTTTTACTTCCGGTGTACAGACAGTGCAGAAGAGGAAAAGAACCGAGAGGCGAGGGGCCTCCTTGGGGGGGGGCCCTCAGGGCGGTACAGTGCGCCGCCCTTCGAAACAAGTACACCAAACCCATTGCATAGTCTAAATTCAACTTTTGCAGTCTGTAGACTGCTGAAAAACACTCAACCAATACTCATAAGGCATACAATGCACGCGCTTACCCACCGTGAGGGGCCCCAACAGACGCTGCTCCATGCGAGCCCGGGGCGAAACGGAGCTATAAATGCATAATAAAAAAGCAGATGCAAAATTTAAATCATAAATGAATTAAAAATATCAGAAAATGCAATTGAAACGGCAAAAAACAGAGAAGGCAGTCGTGAGGCACCAGCCACAAAACCTGCAAAGGCAATGGAACACTCGATCATCGACAAGAAAACAAANGAATGCAACATAAATTATAGCTGATTGTTGTTTAGTTTTTGAAACAAGTAATTACTATTTCTTAGCTTTTATTTTTTTGTTTTTGTCTTTATTTGTATGTGTTGTTGTATTTGCTTGACTGTTTCTCTCGATGGTTCTTCGCGCGTGTTTTTTCCTATTCTGTAAACCCTACATTTTCTGCATGTGTTGCCTTTATATTATTCCTTCTGGTTGTTGTTCTGTATTAATTTTAATATTTTGATTTATCCTTGCTTGTTTCGTTACTTGTTTCGTTGTTCTTTGGATCCTTTGCCCCCAACAGCTTATTTCGTACGGAGTTCACATTCTGACACAGGCTGAGTGAGATAGATAGCATCTACATTAATAAAAATATAAACAAATGCATCCGCTTTATACCCCCTTCTAGTGTCTCCAGAACAGAAGAAATAGCTCAACTAAACGTTAATCATTCCTAAAGTCTATACGGTATTCTGAACAAGATCGATACTCACAAGAAACGAACTTTTTNGCTCTTTCTCAAGCCAATTCGTGACGCTGTTCAGCAGTGACCACTGCATGACCACTGCTGATGACCATGAGGCGGAGAGCCAAACTGAATGGACCAGTCACAGACGCCTGCGCAGTACTAGCGACGCTATACCCTGCACTTCAACTCATCGAAGTGTCGTAGTTTCCTCCTCTGTAGGGAATAGGTTCTGAATACAACAGGGCGATCCTCAACGCAGTGACTCCCAGCTTTTCTTGTTTGCTCTGACGTAACGTGGTTTGACCCGAAATTCTTCCTGGCTCGTTCTTCCTGGCTGTTGGCTGGCAGCCCTGTTCGTTCGCAGCTCCAGAATTCGATAGATAGCATGCAGCGACTAGCGAGTGTATGAAGAAAGCACAAGAAATATAGTTACAAAACTACGACGAACCAGGTGTAGCACCTACTTTTATATGTAGAAGGTCAGTTTAGTGGATTTGCACACCCTTAGAAGGTCATACGAAAGCGAGCCACGTCTTGGCTTGTGCGTTGGCAGTTTGCTCTTCGGCCAGGGAGCGAGTTTATGCTGTACACGTACCCCCATCTTGCATATGCCACCAAAAGCTTAGCGCGAGTTTTCTTTAGAGATCAAGGAGATCACCGGAATTTCTATGGACTGTTCCCAGAACACGATTGCATTGACAGAGCAATTGATGGAAAGGCGCTTACACGACACAGTGAACGAGAATTGTGGGGCGAATGATCAGGTGGTTTACAACCCGAGTGGGTTTCTGTGTATCCTTTCTGTGAAGCAACTCTTCAGAAGTATGTACGCACCCTTCTTGAAGGAAGGGCAGCAGCCACAATTGGAGCCATGCACCGCTCAGTGTATAGCTGGGCCGTATATTACCTTTGCTGAGAGTTCTACTCGTACGTGGGTGGAAGAGATGACATTTGTGTATCTTCACGCTCCCTGGCTCTAAGTTTTGCTTCCTCTGTGAACTACGCTTGTCACTAGCTCGGCGTTGCAGCAGATCGCATTTCCATTTTTTGAAGGTAGTTCACCCCCTTGGGGCTATCCGGCCCCCTGTCTCAACAGTACACACCAATGCAACTGCAATCCGGCTGCACCTAATTCAGGCCCTGTCGCGCTGTACCCACGAAGCGTGGTGACTGGGAGGGGAGCGCAGCTGCCTCTCTTAGTGCTATTATCTAAACAAGTCTGAGTCTACTGTAGCTCATGATGATCCTGTGCCTAGATCGACGACACTCGTTACACCATCCTCCAGTGGAGGACTCGCGTTACACCAGGTGTGATCTTCAACCACACAGTTGGCATTTGAGTATCTTTGACGGCTGTTACTCGCACATGTATCCGGAAAGTGTGATAACATAGTGACAACACCACCAACACTAGCAACAGCGTCCGCAGCAGCAGCTCCAAGCTGACCCTGAAGCAACACGGAGCCATGCATTCGCGGTCACCCGACAGGCCGGCAGGCCTGGAACTCCATAGAAACCCCAGAGATGTTAGCGGAAATACAAAAAAAAGCTGAAACCCGTCTAACTAACTATCGCCAGAAAGATACGCTCTGGTTCTTAACTAATACAAGCAAGGCACTGGCGGCAGTGGTTGGGGCTGGATGAGCCCATGGCGGTGCAATGTTGCATATTGGAATAAAATGTTTCGCTAATATTGACGGCTCATTGCTTTCCAAAGCATTGAAATTCTACTGTGTGAGTATTTTCGTGGGGCTTTCTTCGTTTTATGTAGGCTTTGCACCTATAGCAGTACCTGTGCAACTTACAGTAGGTCTGCATGCAAGCACAACAGACTCGTTACGGCTGCGGTGTTGGCGCGAGGGAGCCCCGTCAGCAATTGGGGGGTTAAAGTCGTTTTGCATTTTCCTCTTTGGTGTTAGAAGTAAATATATTTTCGTGTTTTGGTCGCTTTCTTCGCCTCCAGCTGCCCTGCAAATGGTGCGTTCCCTCAGGACACTCTGCGAGAACCCGAAAGGATTCCAGTTCCCATGCGTTGCCAGTTGAACATACACTGGACACAGACGTACCCACTGCACTGTTTTCTTCTCAAATTTAATAACGCTGCTCCACAGACAATGACTAACACGATCCAGATCCGCTGCAGCTTGCATGCACGCGCAGCCGAGGGGAATGTGTCTGAGGGGGGCGGCGCTCGATGTGTTGTTCCTACAGAACAGAGGCAGAATCAATACAGTTTCCATCTGTTTGCATGCACCTGATTGACGAGGCCTTGTAGATTCATCATGTTAGCTGAGCTGCTTCCAGGGGGAGCGCAACGCGTGAATTCTAGTGAACCTGGCGGGGTGTATATACGGCTTGTGCTCCGCTTGTATAGTGCATATTCACCGCCTTCATCTTTTCTGTGGATTTGTGTTCTTCAGTTCGCCGCGCGTCACGGCCTGGGGGCCCTCCTGAAGGATGGCTACCGCACGTTCACTGGCATCGATGAGGTGACGGCCAAAAATATCGAGGCCTGCAAAACCCTCACAGACATTCTAAAGACCTCTCTCGGTGAGTAATTCATTGGTTGCTGCTCAAGCAGCTCCACAAGCGTCAGCAGCTTTAGCCAACACACCAAGGATAGTAGCAGCAACAGCGGCAGCGGTCGATGCAGCTTGGGCGGAAGACGGCTTTCGTAATCGCGAGAAAGCAACTTAGCTTCTTTCGTTTCATACGTTTTTCTGTTTTTTCCCCTGCATATTTCTGACTGTTTTATTGTTTTTGTGGCTGCTGTGGTTCTGCCTTAGGCCCCTACGGGCTGAGCAAGTTGGTGGTGAATGCCTGGGGAAAGCGCTCAGTGACAAATGACACCGCCGCGATCCTCAGAGACCTCGAAGTGCAGCACCCCGCAGCAAAGCTGCTGGTGATGGCTGCTGAAATGCAGAAACAAGAAATGGGCGGCGGCTGCAACTTCCTCCTTATCCTCGCTGGCTACCTCCTGACGAATGTAAGAAAGCCTTTTGATTAATATATTATTTTTTATTTTTGGTTTTGTTCGTTTGTTCGGTCTTGCTGATCCTCCTTTCTGCACTGTCAACGTTGCTGCCCCTGCAAGTGTGATGGTTATGATGCTGTGCTGCCCCGGCGTTGTTCTCTTTCCCCGGCTTGGGCTGAACATACAGTCCAAGGAAGTGACTCTGTGCATGCGATGTTTGTTTGTTTCTGCTGCTGCATGCAGGCAGACTACTTGCTGCGTCAGGGGCTGCATCTGAGTGACGTCATTCAAGGGTATGAACTCGCGCTAGACAACATTCCGGCAATCCTAGAGGAAGCGGCCTGCCACTCCATCACCAACCTCAAGGATGCAAAGCAGCTCGAGCCAGGTGGGATTCTTGCTTGTCCCCTTGCATGCAGCAACATATCCGATGCATGCACCTGCATGCATTTGTATGCATGTATCTTGGAGCGTTTGCTGCTTGTACGGGGAAGGGCGATGAGTCCGGCCGTTGCATCCGTTGTTTTTTTTTGTTTATATGATATTTCTGCATGCGTCTTGGGCTGTATGGCGAGGTCGCTATGCATCTTTATATAGCTGCATGCTGGTTGCCGCGCGTGAGCATGCGGATATAGTTTTTGTTTTGCGTTGTATTTCAGTGCTGAAGACCGTCTTGAACAGCAAGCCGCTGTGTATAGAGGCGGGGCTCTCTGGGCTGCTGGCCTCTGCAATTTCTGCGGTGATGCCCCCAAATTTCGAGGACTTCGACCCCGACAACATTCGGGTCGCGAAGCTGCAGGGCGGTCGTCTCAGCCTCTCCACAGTGGTCAACGGAATGGTTATCATTAAGCCCCCTCACGGTGAGTCTTTTCTACTTTTCGTGCGTTCTACGACGGAGAGGATTCTGTATACTCCTACGTCCCCTGCTGTCTATCCTTCTGTTGTACCTCTCGGTGACGCAGCAGCAGCAGCGGCTGGTCTGCCGCTCGTTCGTGCTGCTGCAGCAGCAAACCCGAGCCACAGACAGCTGCTCTCTGCGTGTATTTGTGGCTGCATGCAGGCACTGTTGAGTCGAAGGGGAACTGCAAGGTGATGGTGCTCGGCTGCGGCCTCGAGTGCGCCACCACAGAGGCCAAGGGAACTGTTCTTATTCACAACGCCGAAGAGCTGAAGAACTTCACCAAGGGAGAGGAGGCCCAGATGGAGGAAATCATCAAGGGCATCAAGAATGCCGGTACGTCTATGCTGCAGTTAAACGTTTGTTGTTGCTTCCCTCCTATTCCAGTGGTGTCAGTTGTACAGCAGCAGACGGCCTGCAGCAGTGCACGTTGCGTCGAGTCGCGGCTGCACCTCCGCTCAAGGGTGGCAGAGGCTGATGCCTTGCCAGCTTCCCACCCGGCTAAGCAGCAGACAGAGGAAGACTGAAACAGCAGTAACGGGTTGCACTCCAGCGCATGCATGCTTAATTCTTTGCATTGAATGCCGACGGCGGGACTGGTGCGTTTTCTGGCTGCAGGCGTCGAGGCGATAATTGTGCACGGAGGTGGCATCGCTGACATAGCGCAGCATTTCTGCAACAAATACGAAATTCTTACTATTAAGGTGCGGCAGAACAGACGAGGAACCGGGTTTATTTGTTGGGTTTGCGTGTCAAGTGATTGTGTTCGCCGCGCGTTCATTTCTTGCTGCAGCCCCTGCTGGCTTCGCCAGCCCCCGTCACAGAATACTTTTCTCTAGCACTTCAGTTGTGAACGCAGCGAGAAGCTTGTTTGGTGCTGCTGCTGCAGGTGCCGTCCAAGTTTGAAACTCGTCGTCTTTGCAGGGCCCTCGGCGCGACAGCCCTCGTTCGCCTGGTAAGCTTTCTGTAGTTTCCGCTGCGTTTGCCTCTGAAGTGTAGAGTAGCATCTGTATGGATTGTTCGTGTTGAACCCCTTCAAACAATTTTCCTTTTTTCATTGCTTAACTCTATTTATCCATCTAGACCGTCACTCATCTATAACGGGCAACACATGAACTTGCATTGCGGATAGCCGCCTCTTCGATTTACATGGTCAATACACCTCTTGTCGGAACCAAAGCATCTGCATGCAGCTGCTGGGAACTGCTGTTTCTTGTTGACTGCAGGGTGTGCCCATGGCTGACGAGTTGGGGGTGGCGGAGTCGATTAAAACGATCGAAATCTCGAGCACCAAAGTTACCCAGATCCTTTGCAGGTGAATTAAACTCATTTGCAGTTGTTTTATACTTTTCCACGCTGAAGCTTCCCCTGGGGTGGTGCAGCACTTCTGTATTTCGTGTTCCTTGGAGCTACGCGGGTCGGATGAGGTCCTTTCAGCTGCATGCAGTGGGGGCAGGACTGTTGTCTACATGCAAGTGTCTAGGTAAGTAACTGCTCATATTTTGTATACAAGTATTTCTGTGCTACGTCGTTGCAGAGACACCCGCGTGCAGACAGTCGTGCTCCGTGGGTCGACCCCCTGCATCCTGGACGAGGCGGAGAAGGCCGTGGACGACGCCTGCGCCTTCGCGAAGGCCCTCACCAAAGATAGACGCTTCGTCGCAGGTGCTGGAGCAGCGGAAATGGAAGTCGCCAGAAAGCTGCAGGTCTGTCTGTATTCCTGGCATTTGTAGGCTTAAATGCTGCCAATAGGAACTGCATATTGATCTCTAGCTACTTAGCCTGCCCAGCAACTAGCTAGCGAGGTGGCCAGACCGCAAAGGAGCCAGTTAGACTGCTACGGATACCGTGAGAGAGGTGCTCTGTCACGGCTTACAGCCCAACTACACGCTGCAGTAGAAGACGTGCTGCTTATCCGACTACCCACGGAATATGTTCTGTATAGGAGTCGTGCTTTTTGTGCAGGCTGTGGCGGAGAAGCTGCCTGGCGTAGAGCAATACGCCGTCCTGAAGGCTGCCGAAGCCTTTGAAGCCATTCCCAGACTCCTGGCGGAAAGCGCTGGCCTGAATGCCACAGGTAACAACTTGGTGTCTCACTTCTTTGTTTCTTTTGTTAGTATATTTTGAATTGCTTTGTTGGCTTTCCACTTTTTTAGTTGATGTCGACGTGTGTACTGCTACAAGTGTTTCTTCATTGTCATCACTTCTTTGAAGTTAGTAACTTCTTTCTCCATGTAGATGACTTTCCCTTGAATAAGGTATTTATGTGCTGTACGAGCTCGTTCTGTGTGGAGCAAGTTTCTGCTTTAAACGTGTTTGTATTTTGTATGGATTCGTTCAATACGTTTTGCGGTCTACGCTTCCTTCTTGGAAAGTATTAAGATATCGTGGCGTGTGCATATCTTTGTGATCATTTCTAGATGACATGTCGTCTTTGCTTTTTCATATTGCTCGTTTCCGTCATTGCCTAGTATGTTCATGGATTACACCTCGAAACTTGTTTGGGCTCTTTTCCCGTGTATTGGTCTTCACCAGTGTGGAAACACGTGACCAGAGCGACTCTTCGCCTGTTTCGTGTATTTGGGGATGAAGGGGAGGGAGGGGGGATAACGGAAGAGTTTCAAGGCTCTCATACGCATATGGCTCTTTCAGCTTGTATCTGTGTGTGTATATGTGTCTGCTGGTTTTGAACAGAGGTCCTGTCTGCACTGCATGCCGCGCATTCAACAGGGCGCGTGCTGGAGGGAGTAAACATAGAAGCCTTTGTGAGTGCAGTGGCTTCCGGCCGGGGAGCCTCAGGCAGCTCCAAAGTGAATATGACAGTTGATGCGAAGGCAGCGGGCATTCTGGACCACATGCAAACAAAGGCTTGGGCTACCCGCCTGGCATTCGACGCAGCAATCACCACTCTACGCGTTGACCACATCATCATGGCGAGACCGGCAGGCGGCCCCGCTCCACGTGAGTCATTTTTTTTTTGAATACATTAAAACATATGCACCGTACCCTGCCGCAGAGAGCTCGAGGTGCTGCTGAACTGCATCTTTGGATGAATAGCTCTGCGCCAGCTGGTCGGCTGTTCCATTCTGGTTCGCCGGAACAATACAGTGAGTGATGGTGTTCTGTGTTCCTCCCGCAGGCGCCCCTGGAGCTCCTGATGCAGACTGAAGAGCGCGCTAAAAATTTGCTGCTGGAGTTTTCTGTAGCCCCATGGACGCTGGCCGCAGCAGGCCTAGTGTCTTTCTTGTACATAGCAGAAATATGTAACGAGTACATCTAGCTTGTCTGCGGACAGAAGGCACCGTTCAGGCATTGCTGTGGCAAAGGAGTGGTGTCGAGTAGCCGGCTCCTCTGCACATTGGGTTGCACCACCCTGACGAACCCGAGGGGTACTACACTGGGGCTGCGGCCTGCGGCATTGGCGTGTATTGTAAGGGCAGGAGGTTCTCCTCGGCCTCTCGCTCAATCAAAGACTTCAGTTTGACTAAAACTTTAGAAACCCCCTACCTATAGTTTTGCAGACAAAACGGAAGAGCGGGTGCAGATGGCTGTACAAAGCTTTGCAGTCGGAGTGTAGCACCAGAAGCTGGCGGATGCATCAGTAGTAACGAGCGTGCTGGTCACTGAAGGCCAAGCAAGTCCTTATCGAACGTCTACGGCCTCAGTATATCCCTGAAAATGGGCATGTAAAGTTGCACTGCGGTGTCAGTTGCAGCAGCACGCCATGCAACGTCAGCAAGAGTAACGAGAGCCACCGGCATTAGCACACGCGCGTCGTGAGTTGCAGGAGAATCAACGAGTTCCCCAGTAGCAGCTGACCTCCCCTCCTATCTCTAGGCAACCTGCACACGGCGGCACAAGGGCTTCGCTCAGCTGCAGAGAGGAGCCACCACTTCATGAAACGAAACCCAGTTCAGTGCAACGCCTGCTGCATAGCAGCAGAACGTGCCAGTGTACCGAACCCTCCTTATGCACGCACTAATATTCTACACAATTGTTAAAGTAACATAATTGTTAAGAGCTTGTTTGGCCCTCAGTGGTCACCCTGCACGCACGCAGAGATGCACTAAACCACTGAGCGGCAACCCATGCTATACCTATGCACAGGTGACGCTGCATAATGTAGGGTTTCGTAGTTATTGCGGGTTCACTAGAGTCTGTTTGATGGTAAGCACCAGGCAAATGCAATAAGCATAGAGATGCAAAAGTGACCCATGATAACACATTTCCCAGCACACTCACACGCACACCCCCTACGGTTGGTAAACAGGCCCCACATCATCGGCCCGCGACCCGGCTGTACTTCCTGTGATCGTTGCTATTCCGAAATTCATGGGAAAAAACGTTAAGGATCGTAAGCTGAAGTAAAATTGGACCTATTCCCGCGAACACCGGTGCTGCGACCACCTGAACAAACCCCCCCCAAGCCCTGGCAGCTGCCTGCGACGGCGTTGCGGCGGTGTGGCTGTAGCTGGGAAAGCGGGGGAAAGTTGAAGTTATACTCTTTTGCATTTTCTCTTCCTTTGCAGCATTAAGAGTGAGGCGCACTGAAGCTTGCTCTTATTCGAGTGCTTGCGTAGGGCAGCAGCCTTGCGTTTCTTGTCTTGCGGCGTTTCTCCCTCTGGCGTTGCCGTGCTGCCTCCTTATTCATTAAGATGGCATTCAGCATCCTCGGCCCCTTTCTGGGGTCCTTGTTGTGCTTTTGTGTCTGCTTTGTATATCCCGCGTCGCTGAGCTTCCAGCTTTTGCTCGATGAGAAGGCAACGCCAAGCGGGGCCCTGAAGAATGACCACTTGCAACACGTTATGTTCTGGGTATTGTGTTCATGGATATGCTGCATTGAGTCTTTCCCTCCTCTGGCGTTACTGCTCCAGTACCTCCCCTTTTACTACGAAATCAAGTGTGTGCTCTTCTACTGGCTNCTCCTCTGGCGTTACTGCTCCAGTACCTCCCCTTTTACTACGAAATCAAGTGTGTGCTCTTCTACTGGCTCGCTTCCCCACAGTTTAAAGGAGCTGGGTGGTTATGGCTGCACGTCATCTACCCCGCCTACGAGAAAGCTGCACCCATGTGTGCACAGCTGTACAACGAGCGCTGCCCCCCGCAGCTGAAAGCTGCAATTGAGAAGGCCAAGGCGGCGGTCATGGGGGCCAACTCTCAGCAGTCAGATGCGTTCAACAGGAGCCGCCAGCCCTCTAAACCAGCAGACACCACCCCGAAGGCAGACTGAATAACCCATGCTCTGCCATCTGTGCTTAACGCGCAGTAGAGCATGTGGCATGCGGTGCATTCGCTTTGCTTCTCACGGGGCCCACCGGAACAAACATCAAGAAAGACGTGAAGTGCGTGTTTCTCCTTCCTCGGTCGCTCGCTGGCGAGAGGCGGAGAGAGTGAGGGTATCTCTTTCGGATCAAGAATGAAAGGAAGATGCAACGCGAAATGAAGACAAGACGGGCCTACTCACTGCTGCATCTGCCCTGCTGCTGCACCGGCCGGCCAGCGGGACGATCTAGGACTGGCGAGGCGCTCTGTGGCATGCTGACACTGAGCTGGCCGCTGTGCACAGCCGAGCAGCATGCAAACAGCGTAGCCTGGATTGGATTGCAACGCCAGTGCGGACATCTGCTTGAGCTGCTGGGTGCCCTCAGCGACCTGGTGGCTAGAGTATGCGGCGAGGAGAGCCGTCTTCTTTCGTGACCTCTCCGTGGGGGAGAACGGGGGTAACGTTCGGCGTTGNATGCGGCGAGGAGAGCCGTCTTCTTTCGTGACCTCTCCGTGGGGGAGAACGGGGGTAACGTTCGGCGTTGGCCCCCCCGTGTGTTGTGTATATGCTAATCAGGGCTGAATGGGAGCATCCTGAGGACCTAAAGAAAACTATGGTATGCAGTGCCTATACATGGTGAAAGGGCATCAGGTGGGGGCGGGCTCTCAGCACCAAGCGTTCACAAAACAACCAGTTGTTGCTTGCTCCAGTTTCAGACAGGCAGCCGCCGACGTCTGTGCAGCAGCAGCAGCGGTAGCAACAGTGGTTGCTATAAATTATTAAAATGTGACGCGTTGCTTTGCGTGGCGTTTTTTGCCTACCATCGCCACTTGGACACCTCTATAATTTTATAAACAGTCATTGCTGCGGTGCAGAGTCCCATTAGGAACCACTGACAAGCATAGTTGAAATGCGTGTGCTCGTCAGCGTAGAACAATAGGTAGTCATCTTTTTTCTTTTGTTCGTAGCTAATAAACCTATTCGCCACCTTCAGCTCCCCTCCCCCGCCGCTCGGTGGGTGCAGTACATCTTCATCGTACACGATTGAGTAGGCGTTAACCATCAGGAGTGCCGCCTCTCTTCTATTTGGGATACCAGGCGTAGCCTCCACCAGGTCCCCTGGATGCAGCACAGTGAACTGACCATCGTGAGGCCTGTTCTTCAGCATCAACATCTTGAAACTTGAATTCGCCACCTCCCCAGGCTCTAGTACTCCTCGCACTGTCACAGAGCCCACGGGCTCCATCCGGCTGCCTGCCACTTGTTGTAGACGCTCCGCATACTGCTGTGCGCCGTAGTGCACGTACTTCTGCTTCCCACGCTGCTGCTGCATCGTTCCCAGCTGTGCATCCACATGCTGCTCTTCTGCCACGTTCTGATGCTGCGGCGGCTGCCGCTGCCTCACTGTGTAGAATTCAGTTTCTTCGTCGACTGCGCTGGGGAAAGGGGGCAGGCGGGCGAGCTTGAAAGGCAAGTGCCCCTTGTTAACCAGAATGACGCTGCCGTCCTCAAGCCGCAGCGGCGACACCACGCAGTATCCGGGATTCCCCATTTCCAGTCCTGGCCGAGGCCCCACGAGCAGCTCCGTGCTGCTGTCTAAGACCCCATGAAGCACAACTGGGGTGTATGCCCACTCTCTCACTGCCTTCTCCACATCCTCCACGGAAGCTTCGGCAAGCAGTCGCCCGCTGCGTTGTGTCTTTCTCTGTGCTGCTTTCACCTCCCTTTCGTTCTCCTGCGGCCGCTCCGGTAGCGCGGCAGCAGAATGCTCAGGAACAGCAGCTGAGGCGTCCGTGCGCTGGCGCTCTGCCGCTGCAGCGCCTTGCGCTGATGAGGAAGACGGGGAAGTCTTGCTAGTGAGAGATGCTGCAGCCGTCGGTTCAGAACTTGCTTCTGCTGTTGTGCTGCTGCTTTCTGTTGCGAGGCCCTCTTCCTGTTTGCCTGCGCGCGAACTGGCGTTGGCGGCTGCGTCCAGGGTCCAGGGGAAGGGGGAGGCAGTGATGACTGTGGGCTGCCTGGCGAGGTGGCTCCTCCTGTACTCTATGACCTCTTGCTTTTCGTGCATGCGCTGCAGCTGCCAGAAGCCGAGAGCTGCCAACACACCACTGAAGAAGGCCCCCCCCAGCGCTAGCCGTAGCCTCTCTCCCTTGCGGATGCCGTACTGACGGTTCCTCACGACCCTCAAGACTGGAGAGGTCACTTTCTGTGCATCTTTAGCTGCAATAATACGCACAATTATTCCACCTTCCACCTCCTGGGGAGATGGATACTTCGCCTCCGCCTTCGCCAGTATAGCCGCATCCTCGCGAGTGCACGGCAGCAGCCGCTGACCAGGCATCGACCGCCCAGAAGCCACAAAGGGGATGGGTGCAAAGCCCCAGTTGGGGGCCGTCGGTTTACCCCCTTCACTTGTTGCAGCAGCAAGGGGCGACCCCCCTGTAACCTTCGTTTCTGCTTTCGTCTCTGCAGGGAGTGAAGTGTTCTTTAAACTGCTCGTATCAGCAGCACCCGGTGCTGCTGTTCCACTCTTGTCGTTCCCCCTTGACGTCTCACTCTTGTCTTCCTCGGGGGCCTTACCAGGGCCAATAGGGGCCCTGCTGCTGTTGCTGCTGCTGCTGCTGCTGCCAGGCTGTCCATCTATAGCACTGCACAGAGTCCTATGGTGACCGCACAGTATTGCACCTCGCCGCTGGGGCGAACGAGCAGCGGTAGCCGCCTTGATGCTTCGAAGGGCTTGAGCTAAAGCTGGGGTTCCTTCTCGCCTCCACATGCTGCAGCTTTCTGAGAAGAGAACTACTTGTCGTTGTTGTTGGGTTTAGTTGATGACGCGGTCTTTCGAGCTGTTTCAGTTGCTTTCTGCACAGCCGAGAAGAGAACACGCATAGTAAAGAAACAGCATGCAGGGCAAGCGCCCCCTTCACCTTCACCAGGGGGCCGATGCCCCCCATGCATATAAATGCATTAAAACAAGTTTTATAAAATAGAGCATATAATTCTGCGTCACAGTATTCATGAAAACCTGACCAAATACCCCTTCAGCAGCAGCAGCAACACAGCAGCAGGAAAGGCAGCTGCTGATGCACTACCGCCACCAACAACATCTGCAGTGGCAGAAGACTCACAACTGCTGCATCCGTCACTTTCTTCATCACTTCCTGTGCCCGCTGCGATGAGACGACTGCGAACCTTTGGAAAGCGGGGCTTGTCTGCATGCACAGCGACAGAGAGAAACAGAAAAGTTTCAGTGGCCAGACACCGAACATATGAAAGCAAAAGGATACAAGTTCTATGCATGCGAAAACCCAAACAAAAGGGATCAAGCTGTAAATAGGGCTGATACAGAAAGCAACCAGAAACGTACAACAAGCACCCTGTAGACGTGGTCGCTCAGGTGACGCTGCGCCAGTGCATGCAGCGTCTTAAAGAAAACGCCCATATTCATCTTAGAGCTGCGAACAGCAGAAACCACAGCAGCAACCAAGCACACAATTCCTCCTTCTCAACCATAATAATAAAAGACCACAATAAACACTTTGTTCCTTATAAAAGCAAACAAATGCAGCAGCTACAGAAGGGCTCTTGCTGCGTTTCACGGCTGCGGNCTTTGTTCCTTATAAAAGCAAACAAATGCAGCAGCTACAGAAGGGCTCTTGCTGCGTTTCACGGCTGCGGCCGCAAGGCTCGTCGTCTGCGTCATCAGGGCCCCAAGGAGCTACACCGCGTGCAACTCCCCCATGAAGAAAAGGCAGAAGGGGAGGGAAACAGCAGCATAGGGTCTACTAAATATTATTTATTATTATTTGTTGTTTATTACTTAATTATTTAGGGTTTAGGGCTTACGCCTATTGGGGTTTTGGTCGCTTGTTGTTCTCTGCAAGGGATTTCTTTCGAATTCAGAGGGGAGGGTAGAACTGCCGTTGTTCCCCACCTTCACTAACTTCTTGCCGCTGCTGGCTGCTGCTGCTGCGGCTGCTACCAGAGCAGCTGCAGCTTATATAGAGCCGCCGCACACAAAAATGAGAAGAGGCCTGGAGGTGTACATACACCCCGCTACTCCTCCGCTCCCCTAAAACTGATATACACAGACCACGTGAGTCCTTCCTCCTCCTGCTGCAGCTGCTTGCGCTGCTGCTGGTGGTGGTGGTGCTGCTGCTCCTCGCGCGCTGCTGCTGCTGCTGCTGCAGTGGGAGCAGCCGTCCTCCCTGTTTATGTTAACTGACCCAAGAAACTCGAAATTCAATTTTCTGCTGCGGCTGTTGCTCCTCCTGCTGCTGTCGTTGCAGCAGCAACAGCAGCGGCGTAGCATGCACAGAGGCAGAAGGCGTGTTGCTGCTGATGCTGTTGCTGCTGCTGCTACTGCTGC